TGGTGAGGAGGGAGAACGAGAAACTCGACGCCACCATCAAGTACGTCCTGGAAGAGGAAGAGAAGTATCACGCGACCGAGGAGAAGAAAATTCTACCATACCGTTTGATCGTCACCAATCTCGCTGCTAGCGTAGACGAGGAAGCCATTCGCATACTCTTTATCGAGTACAGATGGGACATGTAAGTCGTACACTATACACGTCAGTGAATGCATGCGCTAACTAGAGTTCGCTAGTCGCAACATCACCATCCTTCCCGAACGCGAGCCGGTCAAGAGGACTAGAACGGCATATATCGACATGGACAGCAGGAAGGAGGCGATTCGTGCGTCTTATGAGGTTGGAAGCATCTACGGATTGATTGTGAAGATCAAATTGGCGGTGGAGTAGCGAGGGATGAAGGCTAACATGCTTGTATGTGGACTACGAGACATCGGGCAATAGTGTATTGTATCTGTGAAAATACTTTTTGAGTAACTACTTAAGAAGGAACACACGTCCGGCGTGTATCAAGCAGTACCTTTTCCATGGAAGCGTATAGCCTCAGACTCCCTTGTCGCTCGCTAGTGCCTTCTCCAGCTCACGATCAGCGCTCAACTCCTTCTCAGCTCCCTCAATCACACCCCTCAGTCCTTTGGCACAGGCCTCCAACTGCGCCTTCTCCACCTCGTCAAGCTGAACTGGCATGGCTTTGATGATACCCTTTCGACCAACTACTGCTGGCATTGACAAGCAGCAGCCCAGCTCAGGCTGGTAGAAGGACAAGGGCCGAACGGATCGTGAGTCGAATAATATATACTTGCAGATACCAGCCGCGATATTTCCAATACCGTAGCTTGTGCAACCCTTCGCCGCGATGATCGCGCCAGCTGCTCCACGAGTGTGAGCCGATATTTGGTCCTTGAACTCCTGGGTCATCGTGTCTGGCGGAAGAGCAAGAGAAAGTGGTGTTGTGCCAATAGTAGCGCTGGACCACGCAATCTGTATCTTATATCAGCATGTCTATCTCTCCTGTCTCGTCACCCTCTCCTCTCCCCGCAAAGGAACCAGGGAAACTGTACTCACAAACTGACTGTCTCCATGCTCCCCCAACACATAAGCATCAATACTACTCGGCGCCACCCCCGCTCTCTCACTCAGCACGCCCCTCAACCTCGCAGAATCCAAACTCGTCCCCGTCCCCAACACCTGACTCTCGGGCAAACCCGACAACCGCCTCGCAAAATACGTCAGGATATCCACTGGATTCGCCACAAGCAGCAAGATCGTGTGCGGACTGATTGGCGCCATGGCACTGAAGATACTCTCTAGGATGTGCAGGTTACGGGACAAGAGAGATAAGCGTGATTCTCCTGGCTTCTGCTTTGCGCCGGCGGTTATGACGACGATGTCTGCTCGGCCGGCGTCGGCGTGCGTTCCGGCGCGCACGCGGACAGAGGTGCCGCCGCGGTAGGTGGCGTCGTTTAGATCGCGGACTTGGGCTTCCAGGAGCGTGGTTTTGGGGTCTACGAGGATTACCTCTGAGCAGATGGGTTGTAGGATGAGGGTGTAGGCTAGAGTGGAACCGACGTCGCCGCAGCCGAGGATGGCGATTGTGGTTTTTAGTTTGGGGGATGCCATTGCGTTGTTATGGGTTGTTGGTTCTTGTGGTTGCGTGAGTAGGTAGTTGCACTGTCGAGGTGTTTGTGTGGTGGAAGAAGTTAGGTGATGAGAGGCGCGGAATCTGAGTGAGTTGTAGGACTAATAGTGAGGGGCTGTGGAGATTCCATCGCTTGAGGATATATATATACTCTACTCATCCATGTGTCTTGGAAGTCGCATGTTGTGTTACGTTGCCAAGGCCTGGGCTGCTGAGAAGTGGTGTGATCTGGGGTGGAGCTCAGCCACTCACCACCCGCCTCATCGCGCAAACACGTGTTGGCAGCATCATACTAACAATGCTTTCACGGACCGTTTTCGTGTCACATCTTACTGTGCCCAAAATCGGATGCATACCCCCCGACGTATATACTATCTTTTGTACTCAGAACAGTTCAGTTTCAAGGTCGGCGGTCAGGAGCTCCAGGTCCAACCTCCTTCGCAGTGGTGAAGGCAGACGTGTACATATTAAGCCCACTGTTCATGCAGCTCATCCTCCAGGGGCAGCATCGTCTTTTGCAGTTCCTTCGACACCTTGTCAGCCTCCTCCCAGACACGAAGAAGGTTCCGTCCTGCGATCTTTGCAGCATCTTCATCGCTTATGCCCTGCCTCAGCAATTCGGCGATAAGGTCAGGGAACTTAGATACGTCCTCCAACCCCTCGGGAGTGGTCTCAATACCATCATAATCCGTGCCAATACCAACGTGATCATACCCAATCAACTCTCCAATGTGTCTGATATGACGTACGACGTGTGCTAGGGTGTTGTTCTCTGGTACGAAATCTGGGAAGGAGTTTGGCGTTTTCGAAGCCTTGCAGGATACAAAGTCTGGATTAAAGTTGACCATGACGACAGAATTGCGCTGCTTGACGAGCTGAAGTATGTCATCGGGCACGTTTCGCGGATGCGGACAGATCGCGTGTGCGGAGCTGTGACTGAAGATGGGCGGTGCGATACTGCCGTTCCATTTCCCGTCACCTCGACCGACGAGTACGTCGCGCATGGTGTCTTGACTCACGTGCGCTAGATCTACTAGCATTCCTAGGCGGTTCATCTCCTTGACGAGGTCGCGACCTGCGGGACTGAGACCTTTCCAGTACGGTTTTGCAATACGCGCGCTCCAGTCGGATCCCGTCTCGATTGCTGCATCGGCATACTTGTTGTGGCAGTTCCATGTCAGAGTCGCGTATCTGACTCCAAGCTGGTAGTAAAGTCGCAGAGTAGAGACCGAGTTGCCGATTTGGTGCAACCCTTCGATAGCTGCTGGAGCAATGAAACCACCGTTTTTAAATGTCTTGATGGCTTCCGCGCTGTTCCGGGATGGAGTGAAGTATTTTGGGTACTGTTGCCCTAGGCGGTTGAACAGATCTAGCTGGCCGAGAGTTGCTTTCACGACTGCATACATTAGTATTGATCCAATGCTCTGTCGAGTTAGATTGTCTTACTATTATGATATCTTTCGTCAGCAAAGTTCGTCTCGTCGCCCAATGGACAGAGCCAGAAGGCACTCCAGAAGGCACCACCTTGACGTCCCTTTTCGAGGCGAGGAGTATCGACATGCTGCGCTAGTCCGCCATTCTCGAACTTGTCTGCGAAATCGCTGCCGGATTCATTGTAAATACGGTTGTTGTATTTGCTCCGGATGAAGATCATGAGATCGTTATGGCCATCTCTTGGGTAGTCAGCATGTGGACCTGCATTTCACGTCCGTACGGCTGACCAATGAGTGGGTTCTCTTGCAGTATCTTGACCGCTCTCTCTTCAACTGTCAATGGCTTTCCACATGTGTGCTTGTGGCCTGGAAACAACGTTCGGATCTCTGTGAGCCATATGGTCGACGCGATAAGGAAGAGGACTACGAGGAAGATAACGTCATCAAACTTGCACAGGCGCCGTCTCAAGGACCGGCGCTGGATTGGCGCAAGCTTTTCGCTGGTAGGTAGGTCGCCCGCCTTCTCCATTTTCAATTTCAAGATAGGAGATGCAGGTGACAAGAAACATGGTGCCAGGTTGAGCTGTTATCATCCAGGTAGATCGGTCTTGGCAGGAGGGCGGGACGGATTTTAGGAGTTTGGTCCGAAACACCACGCGACGCGAACCTCAGAAACATTACAGCCACGAACACCTCAACCTTACATCTGCCATTTTCTCCCTCGCAGCCCATAGTCCACAAGTATGGCGATAATATCAGCAAACACCATGATACGCAGTATCGCACTGTTTCACCTTACACTTGCAGTCGTCCTGCTGCGGAATCCCGCCCTGATATCGAACCAAAGCGTCATTCTCCTGCTAGGAGAGTCAATGCAGCTTGTACGTACTGCAATACTTCTGCTGCTTACTGAAGTTATATCTAAAGTCACTAACACACCCCAGCCGACACCCCGCGACTTCAACAAGCCCTCGGCCGCAACAGCCTTCGTAGCCATCCTCTTCGCCTTCATCGGCTTCTCCGACCTGACGGCCCTCTCCCTACACGAAGACGTTTTCGACCACTTCTGGGGTCTCCAAGCACCCATGCGTCTCCTCTTCCTCTTCGGCCTCACCTCATACTGCTATGTCTTCAAAGAAGGTGGCATGTTCGCACCCAGGGGCATGGACTTCAGAATGCACGCTGGCGCTAGTCTGAACAACAGCTTCATTTTCACATGGGGCTTCATGGAGGTTTCGGCGTGGTTCTGGGTGTTTACCACGTTGAGGGAAGAGAGGACGGAGAGGGCGAAGAAGGTTGCCGAAAAGGAGGCTCGCGAGAAGGATACACTGTGAGGCAGCTTTGAGGAGTCAGGATACGTTTCAGAGATGCTTGAACTTGGATGGCAGGCAATTGGTTCGCTTGCAGAGTTCAAAGTTCTGCGCGGTGGTATAGAGTAGGGGGACTGAAACTTCCATACCACGCCTCTGGAGCCGGTAGTGACCAAACCCGTCGGGAGAGAACAACACCTCCCTACACATAAGACGACAGCACAGCGACGGATGCTCTGCAGAAGACAACATGCCAATCTACAGGTCAGAAACACAACTGAGCTAGTCTGCATACTGTCAGTGGATGCCCGCACCAAGGACAGCGTACGGACATGCGAACTTGTTGCTTCGTCAGTTGTGCTTCGATTTAATCATAGCCAATTCTGGATCATCGAATGCGTGCTCAGTCAGATATGTCGCCCAACGAAATGAAAGCCCGTTTGAATCATCGATGCCGCCATTCCCAACTGGTACTGCGACGTGACTGGACCGGGAAGCCCTTCCTCCAGACCCCGATGCATGCATGACAGGGATTAAAGCGTCTTGCAAGGCGAGTGCACCAGTTCAACACTACCGGAAAGCGAAGCAACCTGTGCGGAAGAACTGGATTGAGCCTATCTAATACGTGTAGCAGAGCGTCCCTCCTTCTGTATTTAACAGGTCATTGAGCGTGGCATTCCCTGCTAACAAGCCAATGTTGATGGTAAAGTCCAAAGTAACGTTCTTGCCGCTGTAATCAAAAGGCGTAATGGGCCCACCGACTTGATTGAGACGCGTCTCGAGATCTTTCTGTTGCCATTGCCAAAAGATGCGGTCGATGTTGCCATGATGGAGGTAGAAGAGTGGGTCTGCCATGTGTCAGCATGTTTCAGTGATATGTCTATGTGGCAGATGGGTATTGTCAGAAAGAATGAGAACCAGGCACTCACCACCAGGGCTCTCCGCCGCGTTTCCCATGGTACCCAGGATGCCACCGATACCAAAATGGCCACTGGCATGAATGTTGGGAGGATCAAAGCTTCGCTGCTTCTCAACTGTCCTTGCAATACTCGTGTAATCCGGTTGTGCCAGGACTTCGTCGACCAGTCGTTTGTCTGCCATTCGATTGACGATCCACGGAACAAAGTCTCGTTTCAAGCAGTGTGGAGTGGGCACGTTCACTGTGAAGTGGGGAGGCGCGAATGGCCCGTTCATTACACATCCTCCACCGGTGTTGCCTGTAATGTTCAAGGGATTTTGGGCAGGAGTAGCTGCGACAGGATAGCCGTTGCCGCCAAAACCTGTGTCAGGGTTGAAAATTTCTGAATCAAACGGACGGGAGGATGATTCGTTATGCGGTTCGGCATCCAGAGACCAGTCCCAGTATCTGCGCATTGGTTAGATTGAAAGCCATTGATGTCATGAGTGTATATTTGGACTGGCTAGCAACTTACGGTTGGCCTCCAGTATATCCGCATTCATCCCTCAGTGCCTTTTCGTAGGTTGCCGTGAAGTACCGGTGCCATAGAAGGAAGTGACCCTGAAAGTATGAGCGCGCAAGATCGAAGCTGGGCCAGAGGGGTTTGACGTACAACCCAATGGATCTGAGGCTTCTGCAGCATGTGAACAGCTTGATGATCATCGAATCGGTTTACAGCTCCTTCAATGCCGGATTTGGCCTTTGTATGTGACAAACACAGAACGGCATCGATGTAGGATTTCTTCTGTGGTTCTGACAATTGTCTCCTATAACTGAAGCATTAGTAATGCATTCGACATCGTACAGCTTTTGATGATCTTACCATTCCACCCTCTTGGGTGGGTTTTTGCATGAACCCAAATCAGTAGTTGCAGGTAACGCTGCAGCTGCAGACCATTGTGCCAAGCTTAACCCGACAGGGAGGAGTTCGAGAAGACGCATGACGATCGAGTCGAAGATCCAATGCTGAAACGTAAATGACGGGAGGAACTGTCACATGTGCGATGCCTTCGAGAACAGAAACGTTCTGCAGGATCTGCAGTGTCTGGGTACCGAAGAGCTCTCTCGTATACGTACAACGAAGTAGGCACCTGAATAGCTGATGAAGGTTGATGATTAACAACACCCATCTATCTTATACAAAGGCTCCGCGATCTGGCTGCCGACAGCCGATCTGGAATTGCGCAACCAGACCGCCTAAAGTCTTTTTGGACCTTTCTCCCGCGGTTGCATGGGAGACATTGTTGAGTATGGCAGGGACAACTGCCGATGATCCATACCTGATGCAGGCGAGACTGAACCTAGGAACCCATAACATCGGTGTACTCTGTACCTGGAACACACGCAGGCGCAATATCTGAACCGTTTTGCTAACTTTGATCTTACAATGTGCAGCCTTGGCTTTACCAGGCGTAATCTCGTAGCCCGTCGCTTGGGTACATGTATATTGTTGCTGACATATTTGCCTTGGCTAGCTATTTGGGTTTACATACAGCAGAACAATTCCATGCGATGCATGCCATCTACGGGTACTTGTAGCCTGCGCCGGAGTCCCGTTACTGGCCTTGCCCGTCTGGAGGACCCCGGCGTACGGGGCGAGTGGCCCGCAATGCCCGGGAGACATCCGGAGGCTCATTCAAACCTGGCTTGCCACCTCCGTAGTCAGAGAGGTTGTGTGTGGTAGATCGTTACGGAGTGTCGGGCGTAGATGCGCTTACAGGGATGGTGAGATTGCGCAACCGCAGCGTATTGCCAGGGTTTCTCGGTACTGTTTCTTGATCCGTGTCAGGACGGACATCACGCAGCGTGATCTTCCGACCACGCGAAGGATGCAAGGACGCCGCTCTCTCTTCTTTCAGCGTTGCGCGCCTGAACTCCGACACACGGACATGAATCGAGTTCTTCTTGGTGTTTCCCCGGTGGCTAAATCATCAGTTTTGGTGGATGGCCGCCCTGACGCAACAGCACTGGAGCATCACCGTTTCTGGTCGGCCACAAGCCATTTAGTGATGCTTGCATCGGACTTTGACATACATATGTATAGTGAAGAATTCCGTCTATGCGTCCGACGGAGCACATTCTAGCTCTCGAATATACTCAGGTACATGCCATCTGCCTTGCATTCCAACGGCCATTCCTGCCCTACTGTATGTAGGCCGTTGCCCAGGTATGATCGGGCCGAATCTTGGTGCAGATCATGAATCTAGGCAGCCGATGTTCCTGATTACGACTGGAGTTCTAGTCCTGCTATCAACAATTGCCGTAGCTCTGAGGCGAGTACCTGCAGAATTGGCGACATCCTTGGGTAGTAAGACACCGTTTGCTAACACCTACGCAGGCTTTACTGTCGCATCTTTCGCATCCGCAATGTTGGACTCGACGACTACTTCATGGTTGCAGCCCTTCTTGTCACGATTGGCATGGCGATTATGAATGGGTTTCATATCAGCTGGGGCACTGGGTATGGTTCGATGGTTGCAAGCGTATGTGCGTCGCTGACTACGACAGACAACATTTGAAGTACTTGGATGTGCCTTCTATGCGGATTCCCACACTCAAGCATTTCTATTTCTACCAATTGGTATATCCTGTGGCACTGTTCTTTGTCAAGGCTAGTATATTGGCTCTGTACCATCGTATCTTTGAGCGGTTACAGTTTCGGTACAAAGTGTGGTCTGTAGCTGCATTTGTCACGATCTACACGATCGTGGTTCTTTTCGTCAGTGTGAGCTCCTCGTTACTCTGCTCTGACTAAAGATGACTCTAACTTCTACAGGCTTTCGAATGTAGACCCAAGCCATCACAAGCATGGTCACCTACGTTCCCAAAGGGATGCAACAATTTGCGAGCTACCTACTTGGCACTTGGAGGCATCAATATCCTTACTGATATCACAATCTTTCTACTTCCCTTTAAACCCTTTTGGAAGCTACAGCTGGATTCGAAGCGGCGATTTGCGCTCTTTGGTGTCTTCGGGGTTGGAGGCATCGCCGTCGTTGCGTCAATAGTAAGGGTTTATGCACTATGGCTGTACAATGTCACCAGAGATATATCGTACGATTCGATATTTGTGAGTAACTTCCAATGTAGCCCTGCTCGTCGAGATGCTGACCGTAACTCAGATTCTTCTTCTATCACAGATCGAAGTAAACGTCGCTATCATCTCCGCCTCGGTTCCAGCCTTACGACCACTTCTCCGCAACACTTCTCTAGACTTTAGTCAGCCGGAAGCGTATGGTAGCGGCTATCGACGTACAGTCAGCAGTGGATCCACCATTAATGGCCGAAGTGATCGCAATCTGATTGAGTCTAGCGGTCAAATTTCGCTTCTCTCGATGGAGAGGTGTAGGCCGGTGATAGAACGGAATACCTCATGCGGAAGAGGAATGAATAGAACGAGCCAGGATTCAGATCTAAAGGACGATGGTATCACGAGGACAACGGAGACAACGATAGAATTTGAGCAGATGCCTACTGACACCCTCCCACCCAGCAGGCGTTGGATGACTACAAGGCATTTGAATGGTACACGGTAGAAAACAACATGTGACACACTACACAGTATAACGACTTTGACTTGTAGGATCATGGAAACGTCAATATCAATGAATTGACCATTTGTTTAAGCTTCAGACTTGACTTGAAAACCTCTTCCTACATTACACGCGCCAGAAAGATCGCATCAAGCAAGGAGGCAAAATGACGCATCTCAAAACCACAGTCGCTGTGCGTTCTGAACTTCCGCATAACAAAGACCCATTATTTCACGCCACAGCTGCCTCGTGGTACCATGCTCAAAGAAGAAGCATCAACATGCCGGGAGCTAGTCCAAGAGCCCCGATCGTAAATAAGAACATCTCCCCAAAGCCTGAGGCACTTCCAACGCGAAGGTTGGCAGCAGCGCCGGAGAATTCTGCTGGAGTGGAGGTACTAGGCGATGCACTGGTGGTAGTTGATGTAGCAACCTTCGAGGATGTCACATCTTCTGAAGATGTGGTCGCCCTTGATGACGACGAGGCAACCCTAGATGTCGATGCAGGGGCCAAAGTCGAACTCGGTAGTGGTGTTGCCTCAACCGTAGGCGTCTCTGACTGTGTCTCTAGAGCAACGCTGATCGAGGCACTGATAGATTCGGCCGCAGAATTGGCGGCGCCCACATCCGATGCTGTCAGCGAGAAGGTGGTGTAGTACGTCGTTTCCGTGGATGTGATCTCGTAGGAAGCCTCGAAGTAATAGTAGTAGTAATAGGTATAGTAGTATGTCAACGAGTAGGTGTACCACGAGTAGTCGACAACAACAGGATCTGGGATTGAGGTTGCGGATGGTGCTGGTGTAATGGAAGCAGAAGGTGGATCGCTTTGGTCAATGCGAGGGACTTCAGAGTATCCGTCAGGGCAGGTCTCGCCAGGTAGGTGATAGTAGTCGCCTGTGCAGCATGTACCAGTAGGTGGGATGCATGGAAGATCGCCTGATAGTATTAGTCTGGGGCATGGCTCAATTGGAAAGGGTATTCACCAGGGCATACTGGAATCCATCCAGGTGAGTTGCACTCTTGAAGCTGACGAGGAGAAACGCCAGGCGCTTCCTTGAGAGGTCCCGCTTTGCCAGCGAATACGGAGTACGAGAAAGCGCTCAACAGCACTAGCGAATGAACGAGCATGATTGCTAATAAAAAACCGACTCTTTATGGAAACAAGAAATGATGATGATGAGTGAGATGGCTGTTGAGGTCCGCTGGTGAAACAACAGAATAGCCTTCTCAGCCTTCAGCAACCCCAGACTTTATACTACCATGCCGCCAAAAGAGCAGTAAACACAGCCTACCTGACAGCCTGCCTGGCAGCCTTCCGTGATCGCAGATGTCAGCTCTTCATCTCCACTGCTGCGGTTGTGCAATATCATGCTTGGCGACATGTCGTTGTTCCAGGAACTTCGCCAATAGGCCTTATTACGGCACGCCACGAGAATGAAGTGTACAACGCCACAACAGTCCCATTGGCGGCCCATGGACGATGCGAGAAATGCGAGGAAACACGTGAAGTGTACCTGGGGGCCAAAATCGGATTGGCCAATTAGCTATGACCTTGGTCGCTACACAATATTGAAAATAGTGCTGTAGGTCGTATAAACCTTCAGCCGCAGTCCCTAGACGGTGAAGATGTCCCTTGTACAGACCGGAAAGTTTGGGGCAAGCAAGTATGCCTTGCGCCAAGGTGGTTGAAGAGCTCTTGCTGCGGCGAGGCGTGTACCTAGGTATTGTCACAAGCAGCCTACAATGACCACCATCTGAGCTTCCTTGATTTAGAGGACGCCATGATCTGCACAACTGCTCCAGTAGGATCGTTGGTGATTCTTCACTTTATGGTTTGTTAGGACGCGCTCGTCGATGCGCGCCCACAGTGAGCCACGAGGGTTCAAGGCGAGGTCGCGGTGTGCATCATGTTGATAGCGTGAGGGAGCCAGACAGACCGCTGCTCCAAGTCGCACATGCATTTTGCTCAAATGCTGAAGAGCGTGACCTCGTGATGCGAGATCTGCCGAGAAGATAGCAGAAGATGATCAGACTTGGATCTGGCACACAATAGTCGTGGTGCTGGCATGAAAATGATTGCATACGAACCCAGAGCCGATGCATTGCCTGGCGTCCGATTATCCTGTGTGTC